ATTACTATTGCTTGGAAAATAGTTGTAAATCACTGTATTGAAGGAAACTTATGGTTTTAAATTCATGCCAACCCAAATTGCCAAATAAATTAAAGTCACTAATCTGTCAGTAGATGCATGAGTTACATTTGTGATTACACTTGGAGGTAGTTGATCCGGGTCCTGACGCGACAGATGAAGTGGGGATACGGGGAGGGATTTCAGGGATGGATGGTTAAATGTCTTCTGTAGGAAGGGATTAATTAAGACTCAGATTTTGGGAAAGGAAAAACATTGACTTCAGCTGGAAGGCAGGGCTCTGCCAGGACCCCAGTAAAATTGTTTCTCAGGGTCTAGGTGGTTGGCATGAGTGAGGGAGCAGGGAATATTTTATTTAATTCACCCCATGGTTTTCATTGTGCAAATCCAATTCCTCAAGCCAGGGTTCTGTCCCATTTTTTAAAAATTAATTTTATTGAGAAACAAATAGCAATGAGACAGTTTCAAAACCTATTAGTAGGACAGTTTTAATAATTAATACATCACATATTGTTGTCTTTGTAGTGGTTATTCATAGTATAAGATGCAGACATGCTGTCCTATCCAAACATTATTGGTACAAATCTTTCTTCTTATTGAATTAAGAGAAAGTAGCTGTATAGCTACCTTAACTGTTTTGTGTATACAGATATGAAATGATCCCTCATTATATCCCCTTTTTTTGTTTAGTTTTGTCAGAGATGGGTATTCCCTTGCCATTTAAATGTGACATCTCATTCTCACAGGCTTTTGACTTCCTTTTTTTCTTTCCTTTTTTTTGGTACCGGGACTCACACTCAGGACATTGTGACTGCCAGGCAGGCCTTGTGCCACTGAGCTGCATCCCGGTCCTTGATTTCCTGAAAAAGCAGTGTCTCTACATGTGGGTCTGTTCTTTGTTCTGCCCTCAGTGTACAATCAGTTCCAGCGGTGGAGGCCTAAAAGTGTTCGCGCAAGCCCTCGCGTCTAGTGATGGAGCTCCTGACGTTTTTCTTAGCTTCTGGCTGGGCAAACTCTGCTCTTCCAGGGTCTTGAATTCCAAGTACTCTCTTGAATTCAAGTGGAGAAACGTTCACCAATCTATATCAAAACACAATGCAGCCCAAACAAAACAAAACACCCCCACCACCAAAACGCATACACCCCCCCCCCCACACCCATGTGAGATAAAATAGAAAAACATAACAAACAGAAAGCAAAGAATAGGGCCAGCCAGAGGGCTCAGAGGAATAAAGTGCCTGCTTAAGCAGAGCGCAACAGCTGGGGTTCAATCACCAGTGTGCTGTGCAGGCCCCGCCCCCAGGCCACACTGAGACGGTGGTGATTGAGGCTGGGCGTGCTGGTGTGCGCCTGTAATCCCAGCAGTTGGGAGGCTGAAAACAGGAGAATCACTGAGTCCAATCTGTGCAGTGAATCCTGAGATCCTATAGACCCTGTACTAAAGGCATTAAAAAAAAAAAAAAAAAAAAAAAGCAAGAAAAGAAACCAAAGAATAAAAAGGAGCAGTAGTGGGACAACCCGCTCGTGCCTCCCTCTTGTCCCTCTCTCACACAGGAGCTTTCTTCCCCCCAATAACAAAAAAAAGAAAATGTTGAGAAGATCCGGGTCATGAGAGGAGTGGAAGAGAAATGGATGCTGGTGCGCTGGTATAGCCAGGCCCTTGCTGGATATAAATGCGCCCCCCACAGCTGCTTGATTTCAAGCTCCCAATGTGATGTTGCTGGATGCAGAGCTGGGAAAGAGATACTTGAGGCAGAGGTATGGGATTTTATAGCTGCCAGCCCTGTTGGAATCATGCAGAACACACAGAACTCCTAAAGCACCCACCTAGCAAAACAGCAAGGGAGAGGAGCAATGGACAGGAGTCTCTTCCCCACCCCAGGGGCTGCTGTTGGTTAATGGTCAGGCCAGGGGCTGCAGAGCCATACTTGGTATTGAAGCAGGTGATCACAGGCTTCATGATGTGGTGGGTGTGGTCAATGGTCAGGGCCTCCAGAAGCCAGTGGAGAGCGCAGAGTTGGCGGAAGAGAGGTTCACTGCAAAGACAGAGGGAGGGAACACAGGGATCCTGTTGGAACAGCATGCTTCAAAATAACAGCAATAGTGCAGTAGTTGTGCTGTTAGAAGCCCAGCACCACCCTCAGGCACCTGTAAGTTACAGATGCCATGAAATTCACTCTAGCTCAAAGGGATGGTCCCACTTTGCAGAGGAAGACTCTGGGCTCTGAGGACAATGGAAAGGCATGCCAGCCTCTGGGCCAGCAGGTGACAGAACCATGATTTGAAACAAAATGACTGTGTGCTATACTCTGGGAGTGTTGTGTGTATAGTGGGGAGACACAGTGGAGGGGACCCCCAGCTGCAGATCCTGACTCAGAAGAAAATCTGGGAACACAGGAAAGCTAGTGTACTAACTGTATTTTTTTTCAGATTAATAATCTGAGCTACTGCTTTAAGTTTTTAAGAAATTCACCTTAAAATGTAGCTGGATGTTGAAGAAAATTACATTAAATAAGATACTTGCAAATATAACTAAAGCACTGATAAAATATTCTAAGGCCAGCATGCCTGTAAACCCAGCCAATACTCAGGAGGCAGAGGCAGGAAGGTCTCTGTGAGTTCATTGCCTGATCTACAGAGCAAGACTGTCTCAGAGAACCAAAAAAGGTATTTAATACACATTTTTTGATATCTTGGATGCCTATATTAAATATCTATATGACTCAAGCATTGACTAATGTACTTTTTCTATATTATTTCATTCCTCCCAAACCTACTACTGAGCTATAAATTATTATCTACATTTTATTTCAATTTTTTTCATAATTTTATTGAGAAACAAATAGCAATGAGACAGTTTCAAATCAAATTGGTAGGACAGTTTCAATAATTAACACATTGCATACATTCTTCCTGGTGGTTAATTGCTGTACAAGATGCAGACATGATATCCTATTTACAAACACTATTAGAACAAATCCTTCTATTCATTAAGGGAATGTAATTATATATCTATCCTAACCACTTTGAATATACAGATACAAAATGGACATTCATCTGTATCCCCTTTTTTGTTTAGTTCCGTTATTTGAATATTATAGGAGTGTTAACTCAGCAAAATATTCTAAAAGAGTTCAGTAGTCCATGATAGTATTGGGTCTTCCACTTGACAGGCAATGTCAGAAATTGTTGACCTGAGTCCCCTACTGCTCAACATAACACCATGGCTTTACTTCTTATACTTTGTTTTTATACTTTTCTGCTGGATGGTTAAGACCAAGGTAAAGCAGGACCTATGCAACAAGAGTTGTAGCTTTTGGGTCTGATAAGGTCAGTGAAATCCCCTCAGGATTTATCCTGAGATCCTGTACCTCAGATTGTAGAACCTTTGTCAGTGCAGCCATGTGGATGAGTCACAGCCATTGCTTGGCCAATGTGCTCTCTGTGAAAGCCAGAGAGAATGTTTTCTCTCCATGTGACTCTCCTTAGGCCCACTCTATGTCATCGATCACTTTCCTCTTTGGCCCCATAATCTCCTTGATCAGAAAATTTGGGACACTACCAAGTTACATGATGTACAGTACAAGTTCTCATATGTCCTGAGTCTTAATTGACCTTGGAAGGCTAGCGCCAAAATGTTGGGCTTTCCTTGCAGCCCTTCTTTTTCTCTAATTTGGTCTGCAAATTTAGGTTGTTAACCATTCAGAAGACAAGCTTATTGTTGTTACCATACAATTATTATCTACATTTTATAGGAGGAAAAATGGGGATCTGAGAAGTCAATTACTGTGTGGAACATTATCCAGCTTGTTGGTGACAGAGATGATGTCTGAATATCTCATTTAATCCTCTCAACACTCCCCTATGAAGGGTACTGTTCTCACCTCCTCTTTACAGAGGGGTGATCTGAGGGTCAGAGAGGTTACCTGAGGTCACACAGCTGGGCTTAGAGAGGTTTTGAACCAAGGGTAATATACCCCAAAGGACCAGGCTTTATGTGCTCAGGAGGCCAATGTGGTGGTCACCCTGGGATCAAGGTCAGGGGTGTGTGAACCTGCTGCCTGTTTTTTTTTTATTTTTTTATTTTTTTATTTTTTAACAGGGGAAAGCGCGAACGCAGTCCCCCACTACCACAAACTATGCAGTCGAGTTTCCCGCATTTGGGGAAATCGCAGGGGTCAGCACATCCGGAGTGCAATGGATAAGCCTCGCCCTGGGAAAACCACCTTTGTGATCATGGTATCTCCCCTGCCAGGTAAGTATATGCCTGTGTTTTTTCTGGAAAGAAGTTGGAAACAACCTTATCCTTTGTGATTTCTCCACTCATCCAAGGATGGAGCTGACGGGGTGGGGGTGAGAGTGGGGAGAGAGAGAGAGAGAGAGAGAGAGAGAGAGAGACAGGCAGAGACAGAGAGAGACAGAGACAGAGACAAAGAGACAAAGAGACAGAGAGAGAGAGGTGTCCACTTCATCCAGCATAAAGGGGAGCTGTCCTCACCCTTTACTTTACTTCCTTGGCCTGTGGTGGTTGTGCTTCCAGGGGTCTTAGGAAAACTAAAGGTCAATAACTCAGTCTGTCTGTCTGTCTGTCTGTCTGTCTGTCTGTCTGTCTGTCTGTCTGTCTCCTCTCTCAATCTCTCAATTTCAGTCTCTCTTTCTCAATCTCTGAATCTCTTTCCCTCAATCTCTCTCTCTGTCTAAATCTCTCTCTGTCTCTGTGTCTCTCTCCCTCAATCCCTCTCAGTCTCTCTTTCTCAATCTCTCTGGAGATCTGGACAGAAGCAAACTAATTTCCATCTGCAAATTATTCAGCAAGCACCTACTATTCCCCCACTTTTAATTTAAAGCTCCTGTCTCTTCCTGTTATGGTTACTTTCCTCTCCTTAAGGTCATCTGGAGACCTATATGTGAACAGAGTCTAGGTGGCTCTGGGCATCTAGGCATATCCAGCCTGCAACCAACAGGCTCCATGTACCAGGTGTGAGGCCCTCTCCATGACCCCAGGAAGCTGCGAGAGGTCAGGGAGAGGCCTTGCTTTTGTTTCCCCACACAGAGCCACCTTGGCCTGGGCTCTGCAGAGCGTAGGGTGAGTCAGGGAAGAAGCAGAAGGAGCCAGTTGTTGAGGTGGGCTTTACTTAGTGGTGAGGACGTGGGGCTTGTGACCATTATATTCATTTCTGTAGATGACATGAGTTGATATAAACCTGACCCTTGTCTTCCTGTGATCAATATCTTCCAACTCCCCAAACCCTCTGTCATAGGCTTAAGTATGAACCCTTAACATTCTTAGGTTGATATTTTAGCCCCAAGATACCCAACTGTGACTATATTTGGAAAAAGAACTTTATTTTGTTATTTTTTTGTATTTTAGGGAAGGGTCTACAGGGTGTTCAGGGTCTCACTACTAGATTAGACTTGTAGTGATCCTCCTGTTTATAGCCTCCTAAGAGCTGCGATTACAGGCGTGCACTACCACACCGAGTCTCAATCGCTGTCTCAGCATGCCTTGGGGGTAGGGCCGATACGGCAGGCCCAGAGATTGAACCCCTGGCCCCTGTGCCTGCTTGCAGGTGCTTCAGTCCACTGAGCTATTTGGCTGGCTTTTGGAAACAGAACTTTAAAGAGGTAGGCTTACAAGTTTGTGTCCAGCATGGACAATTTAGGAACTTAGCGAGAACTTGTCTCAAAAAAAAAGAGGCTAGGAGACGTAGCTCAGTGCAGAAGCCCTGAGTTTAATCCTCAGTACCACAAAAACAGAGTGACTAAGTTAAAATTAAGTATTAAAGTGGCTCCAACTCAGTGACAGGGGTCCTGATATGAAATCTGGACTCTCAGAGACGGCAGGCAGGAGAAAGCCCATGTGAGCAGATGTTGAGAAGGCTGGAAGGCAAGGAGAAAGGCCTCCTGGGAACCAATACTGACCACGCCCGAGCTTGTGCTTCCAATCCCAGACCTTTGCACAACTGTGTAAGTCACCCACCCTGCTGCCCTGCTGTAGCAGCCCCAAGCAATTGGACACAACAGCACACTCAGGGACCCATGGCCACCTCTCCAGTCTCTACTTTTCCCAGTTGCAGCCCAGGATGATCTCTCTCTATTGCTGAAGTTCACCACACTCTCAAAGTTAAAATTTTGGTTTTGACATTGACTAGGTCCACATGGCCCTGGCCACATGACCTAACTTCCTGGAGCTTCAGTTTTGTCATCTGCAAAGTGGTGATAATTGTGGTACCGTCATAATTGTAATGTAGTACCATTGTAGTCCTGATTGTAGTAATCATAAGATTAAGGTGAGGGTGAGGGAAGTGTGTAGCACTGTTTTCGCTCTTGATCTATGTCCCTACTCCTCTTCCTTCTCTGGCTTTTAGTGACCAGGTGTCAGCTCAGGTATCACTTCCAACAGGAAGCCTTCCTTGATTGCTATAGGGCTGGGTTAGGTGCTCTCTGAGTACCTTCTGTAGTGTTCCCACCCCCACAGAGTGTCCCCTGTCCCCACACTGGTCTGTTATGACTGCCTGATTCTCTGTCCCTCCAGCCCATAAGCTTACAAGCTGCAGAGCCTCACCATACCCTGCCCCTCCCATTCAGTGCCCTGGGCACCGATGGGGCTCAACATAGTTCTGGCTTCTGGATAAGAGTTGGTCAGGATGAACTGGTTTAGGTCTGACATTGTCTCAAGCTATTAACTTGGGGTCACAGTTCTCACAGGCGCAGCCACTGGGGTGACAGGAACAATAAAACAAAATAATCAAAGTAACAATAAATGGTTCCCATAGGGAGCCATTTCTCTCCTGAACACTGTTTTAAATGCTCAACATCCTTGAACTAAGTTCATCCTGAAAAAAGTCCATGTGACATTACCATTATCATCTCCATTTTGCAGATAAGCAAACCGAGACATAGAGTCACGAACCTGCTCACAGGCACAAAGCCAGCGATTGGTGAAGTTGGAGTCAGAGTCTGGGTAGTTTTGCTCCCAGATATGTGCTCTGACTTCAGTGTTAACGTTGCCTCTTGCAGTAAGGCAGAGGCTTTCCTTTTTGTCAAGTTTCATTCAGTGGGTCTGGACCTTTTCTGTTTATAATGAATCGAAACTCAATGATGATTCATCTAATCTGTGGTGAAACAGATTCATCTAATCATGTGCCAGGGCATAGTACAATATCTTGGATTTTTATAGGATTAAAAAAGAAAGTACTTATTTGCTTAAATGCAGGGCAGATGAGGAGAAAACATGGAAGACAGATGCCCAAAGCCTGCTTGCACAGAGCTGGAGCTCAGAACTTGACGAACGCTAGTGGTCAGCAGAGTGAGCTGCCTCGCAATTGAAGCCGCTGTGCCAAGCAGAACACAGCAGTGGGTGAAAACATCCCTGCCAAGAGAACAGCTTTCTTTTCTTGTCTAGAGGAACACAGATACTGTGTGCAAAGCCACTCAAGTGTCCCATGCTGTTGGCCAAGGGCAAATCTGGACATGGATGGCTAGCACTGATTTTCCTCACAGTTGCTCACAAAAGGCTCTAGGGGACAACTACATCACCCCAGAGGAGAAACAGGGGCCACTGTCTCCTTTCCACACAACATCTCCTCCCAGTTTTAAAGAATTGATTTTGAAGCAGTCCATTCAGAATTATTATCATCATCATTATTATTTGTAATACTAGAGATTGAATCCAAGGCCTTTGCACTGAGCTACATCTCCCCAGACATTTCATTTTTTATTTTGAGATGGGGTCTTGTTCAGTCACCTAGGCTGTCTTTAAACTTGAGATCCTCCTGTCTCAGCCTCCCAGAAGGCTGGGATGGTAGGCATGAACCACCACACTTAGCTGCGTTCAGAATTAGCAGTCAGTTTGGGGATGAGTCACACTGGGGACGGAGGGCTGACAAAGCTCCGATTCACATTTGCTGTGATGACTGAAAGTTCCAAAACTGATAAGACAGGGCCTGCCTTGATGCCTTTTGGTAGACTAATTATAAAATTGCCCTGCCCTCTCCATCCTCGGTCCTCTTCTTTGCACACTTTGAAAGGTGACTTCACTCCTTTCCCTCTATCAAGAGATGGGTTTTTCCTGCTCTTTGTATCTGGGGTGGCCTGAGGACTTGCCTGGCCAGTAGAATGTGGCAGAAGGGTCACTCTGTCTTCTATTCTGAGCCCAAGGCTCACAAGCTTGTGAATGAGGCTGTCCTAGATCAGCTGACCTCCAGCTCAGGCATCAGCTGGGAGCACACAGCTAAGCAAACTCAACCAGGAGCAGCCAAGCCAGTGCCAGCCCGGACCAGCAGAACCACCCAGCTAGCCAGGAGACTTGGAGTAGCAATAAAGCATTGCTGTTTTAAGCATTTCTGGTTGAATCGAGTCGGTTGTAATATAGCACTATGTTACTGATTCAGTAACCATCAAGTGAGGCCAGGCCTTTGTGTCATCAAGGAGAAGAAAGGACAGTCTCCAGCCTAGGGCAGGGGTTGGGAGGCTATAAACAGTGGGTCCCTCATCTCTTTTTCTCACGACAGTTTTATTGGAACACAGCCAGTACAGCCCATCACTGCAGCTTTTATATTACAATGGCAAAGTTAAGCATTTAAGCCAAAGATATTTACTGTCTGGCCCTTTAAGGATGTAACAAATAAGCACAACATCTGCTGTAGCAATGACAATAGCAATAATAGCCTACTGTTATGGTTTAGATCTAGGATGTCTTCCCAGAGTCTCCTGGGTTCAGAAGTGGGGCTTTGAGAAGGTGAGTGGATTAGGAACACTATACTTAATGTTGTACTCATGAGTTCATAACTTAATGTGTCATTAGGAGGTGGAGTCTTAGGGCTGACCAAATAGCTCAGTGGATTAAAGTGCTTGCAAGCAGGCACAGGGGTTGGGGGTTTGATCCCTGGGCCTGACATGTCAGCCCTAACCCTGGGGCGTGCTGAGACTGCAATTGAGACTGGGCCTGGTGGCATGTGCCTGTAATCCCAGCTCTTAGGAGGCCATAAACAGGCAGATTACTACAAATCCAATCTAGTAGTGGACCCTGAACACCCTATAGACCCTTCCCTAAAATATAATGGAAGGGTGTATTCTTGTCCCCAGCTCCTCCCTTAGATCTTTGCTTCCTGACTACCATGAAGTGAGCAGCTGTCCTCTGCCCTGTGCTTCCACATTGCTGTCTCTGCCTTGGAGCCAGTCAGCCATGGACTGAATTCCGTGAACCATGAGCCACATTAAACCTCTCCTTTACCTTGTAAGAGTTGAGTATTATGCCTAGCGATAGAAAAGCTGACTAATGCTCCTACCTAACATGCCTGTATAAGGCCATGACTTGGAGTCACAAGACCAAGATTCCTGTTGGGAGACCTTTGCAAATTCTGCCCTTCTCTAGCCTTTGCTCTCCCCACAGTCATTTAATGGCTGGTTTAAGTTTCAATGTATTCAGAAAAAGTGACTAGACAGGATAGGGAAGGAAGATGGATTTCCTCCCCCACCACATCTTCAGATGATTCTGATGCAAATGAAAACTCTTTGGTTTCAGTGGACTTGTCCAGGAGAGAGGCAGGAAACAGTGCAAATAGCCTTATGAGAAAAAACAAGGTCTAGTTTTGCAAGATGTTTTCAGAACATCAAGCTTAGGCTGCTGGTTGGAAGGGCCCTGAACAAGTAGGTCTACCAAGAAATCAATCATAATACCAATCAAGGGGAAGTAGGAGGAAAGTGGTACATGATGGGGCTCATCACAGCCTGGACTACTGGGGGAGAATGAGGCCGTGTACCATACATCGCTGCTGCTGATAATGAGGACAATGGTTCTTATGATGGCTGCATCTTCTACTTAGGGACTCAGCGCTCTTACTAATGACTTCTTTGCCTGCCACCTTGTTTTAGGATTTCACTCTGGTGTGATTTATCTCTTCAAGCATGGGGGACTTGCCTTTGCAAAGAAGCCATGAGCCCATCACAGGCAAGGGCATGGGAAAGACATTCTGTGTGATACGTGGTGATAAAAGATTGGGCTCTAAGGCCAGACCGAGCTGACTCAAAGTCTAATTGTGTCTTTACATTTGGGAGGGGGAGGTCTGATAGTTTTTTCAGTTCTTTATATGTTCTAGATATTAGTCCTCTGTCTGAGGAACAATTGGCTAAAATTTTTTTCCAGGTGATCATTATGTATATTGAAATTGTATCAATAAACAATAAAAAAAATCCTGGCTGAAAAATGATCAGCTTTGAAAACTGGATATCAAACATGCCTGCTCCAGCAGATGACTGTTGCCCTGCCTGCCTTACAGAAGAACCACACAACGAGACAGCAGTGATGGGCTGGTCATGGATGGTACTTTTGATCTCTGGGTTCTGAGGCTGAGGACCTCTTAGCTAGATCTTATTTTCAGGGAAAGAGATAGTTATGAATGCAGCACAATGAGCCTGGAATGACAGTATATATGATTAGAGATATTTGTTAAATGTATTAGTTGATAGTTATTAGAAAAAATAAATATATTTTTACACATTAAGATGGTTGTTTGACCTAAGTTAGCCTAAAGGATGGCTGTGGCAAATCTCTTGTATTAGTCAATAAAGACTACATAGGTCCTTTACCTCTCAAAGAAAAAAGCCCAATTTCATGGCAACACTGGGTATTGTGTCCAAGGGCAGGTAAGTAGACCACTCTGAGCTTGTGCTTCCTTATCTGCAGAGAAGGGGTAACAAAACACCTGAACAACAGGGTTGCTGAGAAGACTGAATGGAATATCGTTGAGGGAGGGGTCAGCAGTGGCCATAGGACTGAGAACACCCTGGACAACTACCCGACAGATGAGTAGTTGGAGAAGTCGAGTCCATTGCACTATTGGTCTAAAGGAATTTATTGCTCTAAAGCAGTGATTCTCACTGAGGGGCTCAGGGGAGTAGTTTTGTACCTAGAGGACATTCAGCCACCTCTAGAGATCTTTTTGATTGTCACAGCTTGGGGGAGTTAGAGTTTCTGGTTTCTACAGTCTATGGCTGCTAAGCACACTGTGACACACAGGACAACCCTTTCTGACGAAGAACTGTTGCTTCCAAAATACCAATAGTGCTGAGGCTGAGAAACCATGCCCCAAAGTCAAAAGCTTACACTGCTGATCTTCCAGTTGAAAAGTGCTAACTGGTGGGAAAAAAAATTGGAGTCGTAATTCTTTGGAAGAGACACAAGGGGAACAAGATCTCAAGGTTTTAGAAGGCAAGAATGTTCTTCAGAGAGCTGATAGGCCTCTGTGTACTGTACAAGGAGGAGCTGGTGTTTAGGGGCATCAGACCACAGAAACTCCTTGGAAAAATAGTTCCATGAGTCTTGAGGGGAAATCATGTCCCCTGAGCTTTGGCTGAGATGGTCTTACATATGCATGGCAAGGGCTATAGATACATTTGATCAAGTCTTACAAAACATTTGATATCAGAGTGTCTGGCTTGGTAAAGAGTGTGATGAGTCTCTTCCAACTGATTTGCTACCTAGGTCTGAACCACTGCGTCTACTTTCTGTTTTTTTTTATGCCCTAGATAGTTTTGTCGGCTTCAGGCTCCAAATCCTTTGAAGGGGACAAAGGAACAGTTCAACAGCTCCCAGCACATTAGCTTGTGGAGCCATTTGAACTCAACTTCCATTTATAAGCTAGCAAGGCAGATGAACAGGAGGGGAGGCTGCTTACACGTGAGCCTCGGGTAGGAAGGGCAAAAGGATGCAGCTGTAGATCGGAATGAATGGGCCAGTTCCCAACTTCTTAAACTTCTCCTCCTCATAGGTGCTAAAGGAAAAGCAGAAAGATAGGGATAAAGTGAACAATAAGAAGCAACTGTATTTGTCAGCTTTCCATCTGTATGACCAAATGCCTAAAATCCATGATTACAGGGAGGGCAATTTATTTTGGCTCATGGTTGCAGAGTGGTTCAGTCCATGGTGATACTTTATATTTAAACCACAACACAGCTGTAAGCACCTTCTTCTCTTGCCAGGAAGATATTGCTGGGCACCTACTACACGTCAGACAGTAATTCTAACTTGAGGAATGAGGGTTTTGGATTCAGTTTGTGAATAGACCATAGTTACAAGCTCCACCCTTGTTGAGAATATCCTACTGAAGGAGTAAAGGGGATAAATAAGAGAAATAGATAACGTGTTGGGTATACTGGGATACATACGAAGGGTTGGAAATGTTTTCTTAGAGAATCAGATAAAAATGTTTTCAAGTGCATTTGAAAGGGAGAAATGTAATATCACGTGTAAGTGACAGACCATTTTAGGTATAGAAAATAAGGTTTGGGGAGCACGCCTGCATTACAGAACACATAAAGCACAACATTCAGCTCATAGATGCATTTTTAGTTAGCTAGCTGTGTGTGTGGTCTATATTTTAAAATTGATAGATTTTATATAACAATTGAAAAGCTTTGGCTCTTAAAATCTTGAAGGCTCTTGTCACCCTGGGCCTGTGTTCCCACTGGTGACACTCTGCTGGATTTGAGGCTCGCTGTCTGCTGTGCAGAAGGCGTGTGCCCCAGACTCTGTCACTCTCGGTTTCTTCCTCCCTTCCTGCTTCATGCTGTCTGCCTTTCCTGAAGGCCTTTTTATGTCAGAGCCCCAGTCTGATGAGAAACCTCGTCATGGACTCGTTGATGGGTTTTCTGCTTCAGCCACTTGTCCCAACAGTTACCAAGCATCTTCTTTATACTGGGGTGGCAGATACAGCAATGAATGAGGCTGAGGCAGCCTCACCTCTGGAAGCGTAGTGTCTAGTGGGTAAGACAGACACAACTTTGCACACACTTGGGGTCAGTGTGCAGAGCTGTCAGACATGGTATTCTAACATCCAAAGTAAGGAGTTTGTCTGAAAGGAAAGCCAGGGAAAACCTCTTTGGGGAAGCTGTGACAATTATGAAATATATTCACAAACTTCTCTGATAGTCTTGCAATTCAGAGGTGGGTCTGTGTTCACTTCCTCTTGGTTCTGGGTTCTGTGAGAGGCTCACTGAATGGGATGTGTGAGAAGTAACGACATACCAGGCTCCAGGCTCTGACAGCTTCTCCCTGTGCCCTGCGAGGCTGGCTCCTACCTTTCAGCTGCCATGCTGACAGGAAGCTGGCAGCCCGTGAAGATGCCCACAGGGAGAGGAACGGAGCTCACACCTAATAGCCACCAACAGGATGAACCACCCGCTTGGAAATGGATCCTGTGAGCTGCTCCATTTGCTGCCATATGGAGCAGAACTAATCCTGCTCCTCTAATTGCAGATTTGTGAGAGAAAGAAATGTTTGTTGTCTTGTGTTAATAAGTTTTGGAGTGGTTGTTCACGGCAGTAGTAATGGGAACAGAAGTCAATACTGGCTAAAGTCTGAAGGTGGAATGAGAGTTAGCTAAGCAAATGGAGGAAGCAGAAAGACCTACTTGAATGGAATAGCGTGCTCAAAGGCCCTGTGGTAGAGGGTATTGTCATGAGCAAGAACATAAGACAGTATGGATAGAGCAGAATTTGCTAGAAGTGCCAAGAGTGGGGGCTGGAGAAGCAAACCAAGAGTGAGACCATTCAGGACTTTGTAACCCCTGCTCAGATTTTCTTCTTGTGGAAGAAGGGAAGCTACCAAGAATACTACACTGTGAGGAATTTACATTTTGAAAAGATCATTCTTGTGTGGTGTGGGGATTGAGATAGAAACCAGAGGAGACAAGGCTGGCACTCAACTGAGGAGCTTATCTTCTTCCTGGGCACAGTATTAGAGAACAATTCTAGGGTCACAGAGTTAACTAAAATATAGGATCAGATTTTAGGTCCCACAATTTGCCTTTCTAGGGACTGTCTTCAGCCTCAGAACTGAAAAAAGATACACACAAGAAAATGCATCTTAATGTTCCATCTTACTGGCCTAACCCTGTTCCTCAGTTGTTTAGAATAATGTAGAAATTAACTTAGTCTTTACACTTCTTGATCTCTGGTTTTATGTCTTCTCAACCTCAATAATAAAACAAATTCTCCCCACTGTTCTTTTCACCTTTTCAGCTGAATCTGCAGCTGTAAAACGAGGTCACTGAGCGCAGTGGGAAGACTGCTTGTAGGCAGAATCTTCTGGGACATACCTAATTTTCTTTTTTGCCTGCATAGTGTGCCAGACCTAAAACTTTTGTCTAATAAAAAAGTATCCTCTGGTCTTAGATCATGCAAGGAGGATGGTGCAAAAATAATCCCCTTTGCTTTTAGAAAGCACAAGATCAAATACTTGGTTTAAAAAGTATTTATAAATGAATACTTGTGTATTTATACTTCAAGGGACTCAAGTTGTATTTACAGAAGCATAACTCTTACATGTAGGATGCTTTCTAACCTTTCTGACAATAAAGATTTGGTTTAGGCCCAGATTTAAAGATTTTTAGGTAAGGGAGGCCCAGAAAGATCAAATTCACTTTATTGCATTGCACAATCATAGCTAATAATTACAGAACAGGTTTTATATGCTGATTCATTGCAGAGCTTCATTGCATATAATCGTCATAACAAGCTCAGGGGTTTGATATCATTTCTATGGGTGGAGGACAGGAAGGCTCAGGGTTGCAGAAGGAGAGTGTAAAGCAAAACAGTTGTATAGTAGAAGGAAGGACTCAAATTCAAGTCTTGACTGACCTCAAGGCTTATGCTCTTGGCCATCATCCTGTCTTGCTTTTCTAAACACCCTTCCACACTCACTTCTGGTGGGTATATTGTAACAATGGCCTACAGTTTTATTTTAATAGCCAGCCTTGTACAGCTTGTAGAATCTACATAAGACATTAACCAGACCAATGTCTACGAGACAGGAGTGATGTCATGTATATTTAAATTTATTAAACTTTGAATAAACCATGTCTTGCCCACTGAAACATGGATCAAAGAAGGGAGAATTGTGTTCTCTGGAGGTGGATTTACGATCCTATCCAAGTAAGTGGAATGCTCCACCTGAACTATTTAAACAGGCACTGGGATATCTGTAATATCTTCACTCCCCAGACTGAGTTCTTTGGGCCTGTTAGTGTTGGTGTAGGTCCTGAAAAAAAACCCCATGCATTCTTTCCCTTTCTTTATTCCAGGGAAAGGCTGTCAGCTTGCTAGCATCATCGCCAACACCCAACTGTGAGAACCACTGGACTCAGGCGGGAAGGTGGAATTTGTGACAAGATCTTAGGGCCCTCATGGAAGAAGGTCATAAAAGTCCCCAGATTCTTATGCTCCTTGAAGGGGTGATGAAGGAATTTTAATCATTTTGACTCTAAACGTCATATTTATGACTTTTTGCAAAAGACAACATGGGCACAGGAGTACAGCTAGGCAAGAGGAAGGATTTCTAATGTCCAGTAGCACAGTAGGTTGGCCACAGCTAATTGTGTATTTCAGCATAAGCAGGTAGAGAAGACTTTGTTTCCAGCATAAAAAAGTGATCAGTGCTGAGGTAATGGATGTAGCAATTACCCTGATCTGGTCATTAGACATTGTATAGAGGCATTATGTGTCATAAATATGTACAATTATTGTGTTGATTAAAACTTTAATTTTTTTACAAAAGACAACACAGTCCTATACTACCTTCCCAGCTTTTGTTCTTAAACAGGCTCATGGCTGGAAGACTTTCTGGAGCCCCTGATAGTGATGGGTCTCCTAATCGCCTCTTTGTATTGCTCAAACAGCTGCTGTTTAACACTAACAGTCCTACAGGCCCAACAATTATCCCACTGGGTTTTTCTAAGTTCCCTTTTCATTTCTTCAATTGGAAGGAATGGGTGAATACTGGGGCGCTTTAGAGTGCTCCCCTATGGCACTTATTTTTGGTTCTGCATGTGCTAGAGGTTCCCCCATCATGCTTTTCCTGTCTCCATGCCAACACTGGGCTGCACATGTTTATTCTTCATTTTATCAGGGCTCCTTTGCCATGAATGTGGGTCTGGGTCTAGATAGCCTCTCTTCCCTGCCTCCAATGGACTTTGAATCTGACCAACCTAAAGGTGTTAAACCTGTTGTCCTATGGGACACCGATATTTTATGAAAGACCTGTGAGGACGCAGAGAAACGGATTCCTATCTCACAACATGACACAAAAGCTCACGCCAATTCATGATTGAGCACTTTGTTTCCTCCCAGTGAGGGCTGCTTCTCCTTGCTTTTCTCCTTGGGCCCACACACTCAGCCTATCTTCTGCCAGCCTTCGTCCTGTCACCGAGGGGAATCCATTTCTGCTTCCTTTGTATTGGATGTGTCATATTCATTCAGATGTCCCCACTCAGTGAATAAGGCTCCTTAATAGGCATGGAGAAAGCATCGTCACTATCTTCTCTCATCTCACAATGAATAAATGCATTCATACATGAGCACACACATGTTCGTTTGGATCAACCCTTTGGGTGCAAATAACCCACATTCTGTGCAACATAGCAGTGGCAGCAGCAACAACAATAAAAACTAAATCAAATATAAAATAACAACAGCGGCAACAGCATCAGCAGTAGCAACAACAACAACAACAACAACAACAACAGAAAAGCCAACAACACTTAAAAGTGACAAACTACTGACAAACAGTAGCATTTTCTGGCCTCAAACTGGAGACTAGAAACCAGAGGTCTATGCCAGTATGGTTATTGCTTTGGGCTAGGGGACATTTGTCAATTCAGAACAGAACTCTCCTTCTAATAACTTCACAGGGCAGGACAGAAATTACAACCAGGATCTACCCTCGTAGCGTTTAAGAGGTCACCCTTTCCACAATAAGCTGGGACACCAAGGGTCACAGTTAGAGGAGGGTGAGTGGAAGTATGCCTGTCCTGAGATGGTCCTGCAGCCTGCATTCTTGTCCGTCACCTGGACCTAGGTGATCTAAGGACACCAACAGTGTCCATCTCTCTCTTCTACCTCATGGCCCAAGGCCTCACAGACCTGAACCTTTTTTCTATTTAAATCACATAACATAAAATTAACCTTTGAAAGGGTACGATTCCATGACATTTAGTGTAGCCACTATGTTGTGCCACTTCTATTTAATTCCAAAGTCTTCTAATCAAGTCCAACAGAAGACCTCATGTGCATCAAGCAACCACTGCCCTCTTTTTCCCTCTCAGCCTCTGGCAGCCACCAACTTTCTGAGATGAACTGCAAGCCCATTGTGTTAAGTGGCCGAAGCCAACACAAGCAGATCACACACCATGCGATTCCATTGACAGTACCCTCGACCATAAAAAGTGTATATTAATGTTTCTTTAAATTAACATTCTTAAGAGCAGAATTTAAACAGTGGTGCAGAGGGAAGGGGATACCTGTTTTTGTTTCCATTTTTGTTGTTGTTAGTTTTTTGAGACATGATTGTTTTGTAATTCAAGCTAGCCTTCAACCCACTGCGTAGCCCAGGCTGGCCTTGGACTCACGGTGACCCTTTTGCCTCAGCCTCCCTAGCACTGGGATTACAGGTGTGCATCACCATCTCCAACCTTGGTTTCTGTTTTATCTTTAGCAAACAATCTGGCAGCCTGAGTGCTCAGCCATGGCTTCACATTGGAATCATCTAGGGGAACTTTAAAGAATACTACAGACTTACAGTATTCCCTCAGAGCCTGGTGTAACTGTCCTGGAGTATAGCAATAGGTACCTGTACTCTAAAAGAATTCTCTAAGTGATTTTAATACACAGCAGGGATTGAGACGACTGTGCTGTCAGGCTGATGGCTACACCTGTGAATCATTTCTCTGGTGCACTTCCTCTCTGTCTTGTTCAGCATCTCCTTTCCATCCTGACGTGTGCCTCACTCACTCTGAACAAACTAAATAGCCTAAAGTTTGTCCTTAGGATAAACTGATGGCTCGTAAGGTCTATGGAATTTGGTCCGACTGAATTTGGATTCAAGATTGCTTCCTAAGGAATGACCCTGGAGGAAATCAATTAATATCTCTAAGACTCATTCCTACATCTCTAAAGCAGAGCTCATAAATCCCTATTTTATAGAAATTTTATGTTTTGAAGTTTAAATGAATGGGTGTACATAAAACACATAGTAAACACTCATTATCATTATTGTTGTTTTTATTGTTATGGTAGTTATTATTATTATAGGCGTGGGCATTTTGTAAAGGACCAATCTGTTGATGGTTATTTCTCAACCAAGATAAAGTCTTACACAGAAAGAAAAGACTTTTTTAATAAACTGACAAACATTATTTTTTGTGTTCATGCTTTGGTACGGCTGCTGAATGAGGCTCCGGGGCTGTGGATAGACACCTGCAACCAAGATATTGAAGTGGAGTAAAGCAAACAAACACACCATACATGCTGCAAGAGAAGTAGTTAGCTTTGAGAACTAGCCAAGTTTCTTGTACAGTGCTCAGCATTAGTATTATGGTTGGGATTCAAAATGTCTCCCAAAATTCGAAAACTCAATTCCCAGCTTGGGGGCCTTTTGGAAGTTGACTGGACCGCGAGGTTCTGACTTCAAGTGGATCAGCTGCTGATAAACTCATAGCTCAGTAGGCTTGTTAGGAGGTAGAACCTCACTGAGTAAAGCACGTCAATGAGTTCTTGGCTTTGAAAAGGTGTATTTTGTCCCTAGCTCTTTTCTCTCTGGCTGTCTCAACCTCTGCTTCCTCACAACCTTGAAGCCTGCAGCTTTCTTCCACTGTGTCCTTTCACCATGATGCTCCGCCTCACCACAGGCCTAAAGCACTGGAGGAGGCTGAAGATGAAACCTCTGAAACCATGAGCCAATATAAACTTTCTGCCTTTGTTTTTCTCTTGTATTTTGTAACAGTGACAGAAAGCTGACAGACATGACAGGATATTAGGACAGCCATGTAAGCAGAAGCTATTTCACCAAATTCCAGGAAGAACAGATGGCAAGGTAGGTTGGATCAAAACAAAAAGGCATCAGTTTTTCAGACTAAGGAAGAGGGTTGTGTGCTTAGTGAGCTGCCCCACACTCAACCCGCCTGGCAGGGCTGTGTCTTAATGGCTCTTCCCAAGACCCTTGGCACCATAGCCATGTATCTACTTACGTCAGTGATGTATCCCCATGGATTTCAGGTAACTTTTTGGCTGGTTGAAATTTCTTTCTTTCTTCCTCTTTCAGTTTCTGAAGTTGCTGTTGTTTCTTTTTCATTGCAGACTCTTCCTTAAGAAGGGTAAAATATCCACGGCCAGCCCTCGCACACTGCACCAGTAACCTAAAAAGAAGTGGAATGGGGTGGGTAGAGGGAGAAAGATAGATAGGAAGGCAGATGCAGAGGGAGAGAGAGTGGAGAAAAGAGGAATAGATATGAATAGGAGACAGAGAAACAGAGAGAGTGAGAGGAGAGCGAGAGTGAGAGCAAGAGAGAGAGAGAGAGACAGAGAACTTTATTAGAACTTCATTAGGACAATATCCTAAAGCCTTGGGACCAACCATCTCAGAGGCAAACCACCTCCCGTGTCTTTGGGCAGGAGTCTCAACATCTCTAGAGTTCCAGAGTGAGACATAAACCTGATTTTTTTTTTTGTTTAATGTATTTAGTACAGAGTCTACAGGATTTTTGTTTTTTGTTTAATGTATTTAGTACAGAGTCTACAGGATTTCACTACACAGATCAGACTCATAGATTCTCCTGTATTCAGCCTCCCAAGCCCTGTAATTACAGGCACACACAGCCACACCCAGTCTCCATTGCTGTCTCAGTATGCCCTGGGGGTGGGGCAGGCACTGCACACTGGAGATGCAATCCCAGTCCCTGTGCCTGTCTAAGCAGGTGCTTTAGTCCACTGAGCTTTCTGGCAGACCCTTAAGCTTGAATTCTTCATCTTTTGAATTCCAGATCCTTGCCTTACTGAAGGCCCTGGATATGTCACTTAATCTTTCTCACCTTTTTTTCCTTCATCACTCCGTCTCTCAGCAAATACTTATGGAATGTATGCTATGTGCTGGGCATTCTGCCAGGTACTATGGGAGGAGCAAAAGAGTGCTCTGCCCACTGGAAGGGAGACCTTCATGCACATGAAGGATCAACAGGTGACTGACACAGAACCTGCCTACTCTTCATGTCCATGAGTGGCAGAGCAGGTATAAGTGGGTCGAGGCTCCTGCTCAAGATTGTCCTTGCTTCCATTTGCCTGAATATTTATTTGCATTTGTGAGCATGTGTATGTACTATGTCTACTAACCTATGTTGGGACTTTATTACTATTTTTTCTTGCCAAGTCCACTGTTTCCTAATTAGTCTTGGCATTGGCTTCATGTGAGGATATCCCATGCCTTGATGGTCCACACACTGCCCTTGGCTGATCTTCTCTCTGCTGTTGGAGTTAGCAGTGCTGTGGCAGGAGTGATGCAGAGGTGTGTATGTCTTTCTCTGTTTGTCCATCTGCCTGCCTATCCAGGATAGTCACATCTGTTCAGCTTGTGTTCTTCTTACAGTAAAATAAATTCCCAGTTTCCTCATGGATAAAATTATGCAACCTTTGATAACATAGGGAAACTGTATTGCAAATAACCTGAGCCCTTAATTTCTGATTTTCTGTGTGTCTTATCTGAGCAGTTGATTTGATATGGAATTCATGTTTTAAACAAAAGTGAGCTGCCTGTTGTGGTCTTGAGCTTCTGAATTCATTTCTCAAGGTTGAATGTAAGGTAAGTTAGAGGATGCAAGATCACTTGATAAAGAGGAAACTCTTACTACTGGTAACTCCTTCATTTCGTGAATGTGGGGTTTCTCTACAGAGGATGAACAAAGCCAGTGCAGGATGACATGGTGGTGGTACGCAGGCTGATATAAGACTAGCTACTTCTACTTTTCAGAGACTGGGCTAGACCCTGTCCTGACACAGGCAGAGCATGCACAGCAGAGCCTGGATACAGCCTCCAGTGGGTGGTAGAATGCCAGGACAGCGCTCCACATGGTAGGTAAGTTTTTCCACTGGGAAGTTCCATTCAAAATCCATTTTATCGACTTGAAGAGTTTATGGACAATTTCATGCTTAGCCCCTTGTTGGTGGCTTGTTCTGCCTATCCAGGTTCAGAGGCTCCCCTTAGCTGTGAACTTTCCTTGCTATAGTCTCAGTTTCTGAGTGGAGGCAATAGTGTGGATATAGAGAAACTAGTCAAGTAACTTCTCACTGCTGTCACCACTCTGCTGTCCTTATCAAAGAGGAGAATTTGGACACAGGCATGCACAAGTGGAGAGCACCATGAAAAGATGCAGGTAGAGATGGGGAGGGATGCTCTGCAGGGCAAAGGATGCCAAAGATTGCTACCAGCCACACACCTGTGGGAATGGTATGGACCACGTTCTCTCTTACAGCCCTGAGAAGGGACTAACTCATGCAACATCTTGATCTTGGACCTCCAACCTCCCAAACTATGAGACAATCTGTTTCTCTTATTTAAGCCACATGGTTTGTGTTGCTTTGTTCAGGCAGCCTTAGCAATGAATACAGTATGATTAATTATCTTGGTCTAAATGGAAGAGCTTAGTTCTTTTTTTAAATTTTCTTTGATTGTGGGGGTTAATGACACTTTTCTTACAATAATTTCTTAATCAGTGCCTGGCTGATGGCCTATGCCACAGAAAATAAAAAGGACTTGAAGATTATTTGAACATCTGCTGTGTGCAGATCCCAGGCTAGGAATTTATAATGTGTCAGATTCTGCGATCTTCACTTGCTGCCTGGTAAGTCCTCTTTAAGACACTGATGCTATCGAGGTGCACATGTCCTTGAAAAATTCAATCTTTGCCTTTGCATTGCAGTTATTGTGCTTTTATTGGGGGTAATTAATAGGCTTTAAAGGGACTTTTGGAGGACTTATTTGTGTCCTTATTTTTAAAATGTCTAGACAGCAGGCAGTGAAAACAAGAAAACAGAATCAGGTAAGATGTATGTCAAAAACCATGCCACATGATCTGGTGCACGAATTTAGCCCAGAACATCCTGGTGGCCGGTGCAAAGAAGGGTATGATTCCTGAAAGCGATAATGTGTTTTAGAAGCAGTTCAGGAGGTACTGAGCTATATCTGGTGCTGAAAATAGGAAGAGATTCCTCTTCAGGATTTAATATGGAATATAATAGGAAAAGCCCAGCCAACCCCAAACCTTCAATGCAAATAGTGTGTCGAATGCCTTTCTTATCACCTAGCCCACAGACAGAAATGGACAGTGTGGGTTGGGCAATTTAAGGATTCTAGCAAGCAACTTTTCAGCCCTTCTTGAGTCAAGGCAGCTGGATTCTTAGCTGCTATACCTTCTGGAAGGACCCAGTGACAGATGAACAGAGTTGGGAGGTGAGTCTAGGACCTCCTGTCAGACACACCGGTGTATTCTGGGAAATTTAGGCTTGGGATGTTCATTCAGCAAGCTCAGAATTGTTCCCCTGATACCATGGAGGCCCATTCGAAAATGCTTAATATTTTAGCAAATTCTCATTTAATTCCCTGTATGTTTGCTACGTTTTCTCCCTCATTATTGCTGATTATCAGGCTATTTGTGTGAAGGGAGCTATTTGCAAGGAACAGCAGCTTTTGCCTTTATATCCACTCACCTGGGGCCTCCTGCTCATTCCTTTACATGTGTAAAACTCCCCTGGCTGACATCACAAGGGGAATCATGGGTAGTAAAATAATTAACTGTACCAGGCAAGGGGAGGAAGAGGCAGATTATAAAATGGGAAGTTTCCTCTACCCAACACAATTTCTCCTTAACCAATGAATGGAAGGGGTGTGTTTTCTGGTTTTAAGGGACATATGTTCTCTGTACAGGAGTCCATATGTGAGCTGGTGACGAGTGAATGCTTCCTCCAAGTGGGAGGGGCCTGCAGGGCTCAGCTGGGACCCAGCACAAGAACAGAAGGGAGGAAGCTGGGGCTCCTCCATCAGGCACCTCTGACTTGAGGAGCAATACATGGTAAGGCTTTAAAGGAGGCAGCCTCTGGGTGGAACCTTTGCTTTGTTACTCTCGGTAGGGTTCTGAGTTCATTAAAAAAATAACTGACACATAATAATTATACATATTTGTAGGGTGTGAGGTGGCATTTCAACACATGTCTACTGTGGTGAGATGATTAATCAGGGTAAATGGCAAACCATTACTTCAACATCTATCATTTCTTTGTGCTGAGAACATTCAGACTCTACTAGCTGTTTTGAAATTGTCAATTCAGTGTTGCCAGTGCAGGTATCTTACCATGCTACCAAACATTAGGACCCCAGAACCCTCTATGCACCCTCTCTCCAAGTCCCTTTTCTCCCTAGCCTCTGGTAACCACCATTTCATTCCCTCCTATGAGATCAACATTTTGGTTCCCACATATTTGAGGACATGTGGTATTTGTCTTTTTGTGCCTGAGTTATTTCACTTCATGTAACATCCTCTAGACTCATCCGTATTAGGCAGGTTTTAAATTGCTTGGAGCCACAACTTCTTTATCTTCAAAGGGGAATAGTATTAGCTCTTGCCTCAAAGGGCCATGGGGTGGGCTTAATGAGGCAATGGGCATGATGAGGTCAGTGGGGTGCTTTGTACCTTAGACCTAGTAACAGAATGCTGTATTTTATTATTGTCAAATTGCTTAAACATGCAGGGAGGTTAGTGCAGATGAGGAAAAGGAGGGAGAAAGTTGCTGGGAATTGGCAAAGAAGGGCTTAGAAGTCATGGGACTGATTCCAGAATGTCTGTCTCCATCTGCATCCCCCAATGCAAAAGCATTCGGTAGGAAGCTTTCAAACTTTCTGTATAAGTTTTTGTACATTTGATTGCTGATATGTTGAGGTTGTTTCTAGGCTTTCAGACACAGAGGTTCAACTTTTCCCCTTTAGATCATACTTTATGTCATCCAAGACCCTATTGGGGACTGGGGATATAGCTCAGCGGTGCAGCACCTGCCTGGTAAGCTTGAGTTCCTGAGTTCGATTCCTGGTAACCCTCCCCACAAAAAAAGATGCTATTGGTGGCAGATGAGGTCAATATTCAGTCACCTCTCCCTTCCTTCTCTGTCTTCTTCATTCAAGGGTGGAATATATTTCCCAGAACCCTGACTTTCACTTGGCCATGTGACTGCTTTGCTTGGTGGGCTAAAAGCAGATACAACTTGAACATGTGCATGAAATGAATTTCTTGATTGAGTCCACGAGAAGAGCAAAACTCACTGTCTTCCCAGAGCTAGATGAGTGACAAAAGAATGGGACAGATATTTCAGAACCAAG